CCAAGAGGGGGACAAGAGGGGATTGGGGTCTGACACCTGGCCCAGGCAGAGATTACCGCAGGTGGTCTTCCAATGGCTGCTACCCAGAAGACTATCTGGAGAGTAAGACAACCTTTCTCTGAGATTCAGTTTCCTTCCCTCACTCTTTCATTACTTGCCTTAAAACCAGTTACAAGAAGCTTGAAGCATCTATACTATATAAATTCCAACCATCTGGCACTCCTTTGAGTTTTCTATTTTGCATGACTCCCCTACTTATGCAAGTTAATTTATTATTCTTGTCTTGTTAATGTCTTTTGTTATAAGGGTGTCTTCCATGACCTGTTATGATGTGAGGGAAGGGACCACCCGCTGTTCTGCCCCTACACCCTCTTCCCCACTACAATCATAGTTTCCCTTATTATTACCAATTTATATTACTGTGGCACATTTGTTACAATTGATTTACCAATACAGAAACATTAGTAGGTCTTTGCTTACGTTGGGATCCACACTCTTCAGTTGCAGTTTTTTGGGTGTTGACAGAAATTTCACTCAGAATTTTACCACCTTAAAAATGCAGTTATCGGTCTGGGGTTGTGGCTCAGCGGTAGAGTGCTCGCCTCACACTTGTGAGATCTTGGGTTGGATCCTCAGCACCACATAAAAGTAAATAAGTGAAATAAAGGTATTGTATCCAACTACAACTAAAAAAATAATATTTTTAAAAAATGCAGTTATCCTCCCTGATCCCCTAAACCCTTGACACCTACCAATTTTTTTTTAAATTGTCTATAGCTTTGCCTTTTTCAGAATGTCACATAATTAGAATAAAGTATGTGGTATTTTCAGATTTTTTTTTCCCCACTTAGCAATATGCATTTAAGATTCCTCCATGTCTTTTTGTGGTTTGAAGGCCTATTTCTTCTTATCACTAAATAATGTTCCACTGTATGGATGTACCACATTGTACCAGGGTTCATTCATTCATTTACTCAAGGACTTTTTGGTTGCTTCCAACTTTGAGTAATCTAAATACAGCTGCTATAAACATATGTATGCAGGATTTTATGTGGACATGTTTTCAACCCTGTGATGGTTTGGATATGGTTTGAGGGTATCCCCCAAAAGGTTTATGTGTGTAGAAGCTGGTCCTCAATATGGTGATCTTGAAAGGTGGTGTAACCTTTAAGAAGTGGAACCTACTCGAAGGGGTTCAGGTTATTAGAGGCACTGCTCTTGGAAACAATTAATGTAGTACTCATGGGTTGTTACTTAGTTTCCATGAGAGTAGACTGTTATAAAAAGAGTGAACCTGGCCTCTGACTTCCTATCTTACCAAGCAGATTATTCACTTGTACTTCCATTGTGACCCAATTTGCCATGTTGTAGTAGAGCCAACAGGGACCCATCAGAGGCCAAGTAGACAAGGCCACACTATCTTGGACTTTCAGCTTCCAAATGGTAAGCTAAATTGACCTCTTTACAAGTACCCAGTGTCAGGTATTTTGTTATAGCAACAGAAAACTATGATAAATTCATTTGGTAAATACCTAGGGGTTATGTTTAGCTTTGTAAGAAAACATCAAACTTCCAAAGTGGCTCCCACTGACATGAATGAGAGTTCTTGCTGCTTTAAGTCTTCTCCAGCATTTGGTGTCCTCAGGGTTTTGCATTTTTAGCCATTCTAATAGGTGTACAGTGGGCATATAAGTGATATATACTTTTCATAGGACTACATACATATGTAACACAATTCTGTAAAAGGAAAGCAAGAAATAGTAAATGAAAAGCCAGGCACAGTGGTGCACACCTATCATTCCAGCTGAAATAGGAGGATTTCAAGTTCAAGGCTAGCCTCAAAATTTAGCAAGATCTTGTCTCAAAAAATTATTTATTTATTTTTTAAATATTTTATTTTTTAGATTAAGGTGGACCCAATATCTTTATTTTTATTTTTATGTGGTGCTGAGAATCGAACCCAGTGCCTCACACATGCCAGGTGAGCACGCTACCACTTGAGCCACATCCCCAGTCCCTTGTCTCAAAATTAAAAAAAAAAAAAAAAAGCTAGGATTATAACTCAGTGGTAGAGTGTCTTTGGGCGCATTCTGAAGTACTGCAATAAATAAACAAACAAGTACACAGGATGATGGTTACCCAAGGTGAGGGGGATAAATTAGTATTGTGTGTGACATATACCATACATTTAGATGTAAATTGCTGTGATGACTTTTTAAGATTTGCAGCTATTACATTAAGTTCCTAAATTAGCAATAAGTAAACTGATATTGCCCACTGAGGTGTCTATGTCCTAATCCCTAGAACATATGAATGTTTGTTTTTTGTTTTTGTTTTGTACTAAGGATTGAATCCAGAGATGCTTCATCATTGAGCTACATCCCCAGCCCTTTTGATTTTGATATAGGGTCTCACTTAGTTGCTGAGTTCTGGGCTGGAGATGTAGCTCAGTGATACACTGATACACTTGCCTAGCATGTGCAAGGCTCTGGACTTACTTCCCAGCATCATAAAATGTATAATAGATATATAAAGGATAACATTAAAAAAAAAAAGTTGCCAGGCGCAGTGGCACATGCCTATAATCCCAATGGCTCAAGAGGCTGAGATGGGAGGATTGGGAGTTCAAAGCCAGCCTAGGGAACTTAGTGAGATGCTAAGGAACTCAGTGAGACCCTGTCTCTAAATAAAATACAAAATAGAACTGGGGATGTGGCTCAGTGGTCGAGTGCCCCTGAATTCGACCCCTGGTACCCTTTCCCCCCCAAAAAAGTTGCTGAGGCTGGCCTCAAACTTGTGATTCTCCTGCTCAGCCTCCTGAGTCACTGGGATCACAGATGTGTGCCACTGCTCCAAGCTGAATGCTTTGTATATAAAAGGGGACTTTGCAGATTCGATTGAGGATCTTCATATGCAGAGATTATCCTGGTCAAAGTAATCACCTAAAATCATCAAAAGTAAGAAAAGGAGGCAGGAGGACCAGCCAGAAAGACAGCATTGAAGGAAAGAAGATATGCAACAGTTTTTGAAGATGGAGAAAGGGGCTAAGAGTCAAAAAATCAGGCAGTCTTTAGAAACTGGAAAAGACAAACCAGCCCTGTCACCATCTTGATTTTAACCTAGTGAAACTGAACTTGGGCTTGAAACCTCCAGAATTCAGATAATAAATTCATGTTGTTTTAAGTCTCTAAATTTACACCAATTTGTTATAGTGGTAACAGAAAACTAATACATTGGGCTAGGCACTGTCAGTGAATTGGATTATGATTAATCCAATTCTGTACCTAGGTTCAAGTTAAAAAAAAAATAGCTTCAACTTTTCAATGGTTCCTCACTGCTTGGAAGATAAAACTCCAACTCCTCAGCATGGCATAGATCCTTGATAACATGGTACTACAGGCCCAGGCTTAAATCTCTAGCACTGAAGACCAACTCCACATTGCTGCCAACACTCCCACCCCTAGACCCAGACATTTTACCCATAGATGCTGGCCTCTGAACCCTTTAGCTATTCCCATTGAGTCTTATGGGGCTCGACTCCTTTGTCAACCATTCTATGAAGTCCTCCAGGTTAAAATCTCCCTCCCCACCAATTGACAGTACTATGCGATGCTGCATGGCTGATGGTGCCTACAAGATTAGGATCCGATGGTACCTGCAGAGGTCTTCAGAAACAACTCTGTTAACTGAGAACTGTCAGGTCAGGCAAGAGACTGAAAGTCCTCTCTTCACCTCCACCCTTCACTCATCCACAAGAGCTGCTACAAACTGTGTGCTTTTTCCTGTCGGTGCTGAGGAGGTAAAAAAGCATACAGAGAACTGGTGTGTGTGGGAGGGTGGGGGGGCTGCAGAGCTCATTTGAACGTGGCTTTCCACTTCTTCAAGCAAGACTTCCTTCCCCACATGGCTGATGTCTGTAAACACAACCTTAAATCTGTGCATTTCTGTTAAAAGACTTTTACTTCTACGATCAAATACGGGGGGAAGGAGGGCAAGTCATTCAAATGGACGGTTGCTCGTCTCACCCGCTAACCCGACGAGGTATGGAAGGTAGGCAGCCCTCCGAAACATACAGCAACCTACCAGACTATCTCGGCTAGGAATTCCTATCTGCGGGAAAAGGCGCCCCCAAGACGCGACCGGCCCCTGGGGAGCCCGCGGTCTGTCAAGTCCCGCCAGGTGCCCGCCAGGCCAGCCTCTCTCGGGCCAGGCGCGAGTTGGCGGTTGATGACCGCGGGCCAGCCGTTCTGCCTCCAGAGGAAGGCCAGCAGGGCCTGATAGCTCTGACAACACGCGGAGCCGGCGCACCGCCTGAGCCGCAGTTGAAGAACCCGCTCTTGGCCAGGACGGAGGCGGAGCCGACGCTCACGCCCGGCCAACAGAAGGGTCTTAAGATGCCTGGAGCGGTCCTGAAGCCGCCCCCGGCGCGAGGCACGCTGGGACTTGTAGTTCACTTCCCGGACACCGACTCTCCCACTCGGCCGGCCCGCGTTTTACCGTCGCTTGTTCTCTTCCCTCCCCTCCCGGCACGCCGACTTCCTGGTGGCCGCACGCCCTCACGTACGACTACACTACCCAGAAGTCTCTCCTGCGCGTCCCGGCGAGGCGCGGGGTCTCCTTCGGACTACAGTTCCCAGAAGTCTCCTGGAAAGTGCTTCCCTCGCTCCTTCCCAGGACCGCGATTCCCAGAGACTTCACTTCACGACGTTTCTCTTTTTGCCCGATCTCTGCTGGAAGTGGCTGGGGTTCGGTCGGACGGCCAGCAGACAGGCTCTCGGCGACAACGGAGTCGTCGTGAACTGGCACAGGGCTTGCTCCGCGGCCTGGCTTTCTGCCCCCCTCAGCTCTCCCGGGGCAGGCCGTCGCGGCTGGCCTGAGCGGTGACCTGGCGGGCCGCGCCTGCGCCCTGCCCCGTTTCCTGCCTGGCTGGTGGCGGCGGCCATTTTGTTCATCCTCCTCCTCCTTCTGCTCCTCCTGGTTGGAGCGCAGTGTCCGGAGCGGGCTGGGGGGAGAAAGCCCTAGAGCAGGGTTCGGTGCCTTTTCCTCTGTCCCCAGCCGGTGCCCGGAGCCCCCCTCCCCTTCCTCCCCACCCCCTCCCCTCCCCAACCCTGCCCTCCCCCTTGTCCCGGGATCGCTCCGTCGTACCCACCATGATGGAAGACGACGGACAGCCCCGGACTCTGTGAGTACCCGAGACCGGGGGTGCCGGGAGCCTAGAGGCCCGGGCACCGCGGGACGCTAAGGGAGGGAGCAGGAGACAGGGGGCCGAAGCCGGGACTCTCGGCGGCTCCCTGGCCGGGGCGGCGTGGACGCTAAGTGCATTCCTCATCTGTCCCCTTTTCCTAGGGAAGGAAGCCCTCCCTGCCCCCAAACGCAGTCACTTCCTGGGGTCTGAGGCTTGTCCCAACCTTTTCCTCTCGCGCCCTTCTTCGCGCACCTTTCCTAGGCCTGGCTTCTGCATCCGCTGAGGCTGTCAGGCCCGAGAGAGCTTCTGCTCCCCCTGTGCTTGGGGGCCCTGGGCTGGGCCGGGAGCCGCCGGTCCTCACGGGGGCTGGGCCTGGTGGAGGTGGGACTGGGGGTGGGACCGTCGCTGCATCCCTTGCGGGCCCGGAGGAATTAGCGCTCACGCCCTCCACGTCCCGGGCTGGAGGCGCCCCCGGCTCTTTGCCCGAACTCGGCTCTCGGAGGAAGCCAGACACTCTTCAGCCACGGAGCCCCTTGTCTCTTTCTGCCCCACGTGCCCCCGCCCACGCTGTCAGAAACACCCGCCCAGCGCCCGCTACTTTTGAAGTGCAGGCGGAATGCCTCTGGCCGCCGCAGCATCGCTCCCTTCTCGGAGAGCGAAGTTTACTTTGAGCGCGCCCTACGCCAAACTGACAACCAGTTGTTACACTCTTTTTTGCTGTTTGGTGTTGCCGCCTCCTAATTGGTGTGTGGAAATCATCAGAATCAGATAGAATCATGTCTTCGTTCGCTATACGATGCGTGTTTGGGGGGCGCTTCTTTGGTCTTGCTGTTGCATTTTGCCCAAAGCCCAATCTAATGAATGGATTTCATCTTCCAACCACCTAATTCGAGTTTTCCTTCCTTTTCCAATGAAGAGTGATGACTCAGCAATTACATTTCTTTCTGAATAGCGTGGCATTCTTTTTCTTCTCTTGTATCTTTTTTTTTTAATTTTTATTTTTAGTCTGAGTTATTTCTAATTCAGTGTTTAAATTGCGCACCTTTGGCATTCCCAGCCTCTGAGGCCCAGTTCTCCTACCCTGAGTTACAAGGAGTCCAATCTCTGCTTTGTTTCCCTTGCCTGTGCCTGATATTGATATGATCAGAGTTCACTTGGCTGGGTTATCTGCCGGGGAAAGTACTTTTTGGGGAATAGATGAAGGTAGATGGACACTCAGGAGGTTGATTAGCTTCTCAAAACTTCACTCCTACCAAAAAAAGTATACACTCCCTAAAGAAGGTAGACTTATATGTTCAAACTTGATTTTTTTTTTTTGCCTGTATTTTCTTTTTGTTCATATTTCTTTTAGTGTCTTACTCTGAAGTACTTGTCATCCTGTTTTGGGAATTTAAGGCCAATTTAAGCACATCTACTACTTGAATGAAAGGCTTGCTCAGTAGAACTTTTTTGTGTTGTCTTCCATTTTTTGCCCATCTTCCCAGAAAACAGAATTGGGACAAATTTGAAATTTGTCCTCAACATCTGTTGAAGCCAAAGCTTGGTAGTTAACATCTGAGAAAGTTAGATTTAGGGGCTATCATGTATTTAAGGAAGATAACAGTTATATTGTATCTGAAATGTCATCATCGCATCATAATAACTATTGAATAATTGGTAATTTCTTATGGTTAATGTCTCATTTAATTGTATCATTTGTTCCCAAGAAGAGGAATTCCTGGTTTTGTCCTTCTAAATAATGTACTTTTTCAGTATCTTTCATTCATATAGTTATCTATGCATCTGCCTTGTTTTCATTTCTATTGTACCTTCTCCAGTAGTCTAATAAGCTAATTCTTTGTTACTTCCTACCACTACCTTTTCCAGTATCTTGTCCTTTCTCTGAAACATACTTAAGTTGTCTGTGTTTATTATATTTATCTAAAAATGTGACATGTATACATAGGAGTAAATAAAAATCTAAGCTCTGTTATTTCTCAATGTAGTACATGTTTACAACTCTCCTTTATTCTTCCTTTTTCCTTCTCCCACTTTTCCTCCATGGGAAGGTTTTTATTGTTTAAGATAAGGACTGCTACATCTTCCTAGGTCTTACCCCTTAAGCACTTAGTTCACTGCTGGGAACATAAGAGGTACTTAATAAACATTTTACAATGATTATATTTCTCTCATTAAATCAGTTTTAAGTCCCTTTTTAATAGTAGTCCTGATTGATTTAAATTATAGGCAGACATTATTGTCATACCTTGGGCAGTTGATGTGTGTGTGTGTGTGTGTGTGTGTGTGTGTGTGTGTATATTTTAAAACCTTCAAATGTAAAATCTTGAGATAAAATCAAATGTTTCACAATTCAGATTTTTGCCAGCATTTAATAAAATTAATGCATAATAATTTTTAAAAAGTATACGTTTTATATATTTCTGAAAGGGCTCTTTTAGATACAAATAATATAATGGAAACTGAATATGATTTTGGAGGTTGTTATCTAGTAAGGTTTGGTTTTGTTAGTTTATGGAGATCCTATATTTTGCCTTGTGATCTATGGATGAATTTTCAAGTGGCTAGTATGTTTTTAAAGAATGTACTCTTAACAAAACTTATCTTAATCTGTTTTCCTTAAAATGCCTGTGTGTTACTAGTGAGGTTTTTTTCCTGCAGACACACACAAGCTAAGACATATGGTTCTATCTTCAGAAAACAATATGGTGTTTATAGCCTAGGTAGGTCTTTAAATATTCATTACCTACAGTATTACTAATTTATTTGATGGTATTTAAATGGTATAGAATTGCTTTGATGTTGAGCTTAAAGTTCTGTTTGTCATATAGTTGCTTTAAAGGACTGTTTTTTCATGTTTTTCATTCTCACTTGACATTTATTTTGGGATATTATGTTTTGGCTAACTTGTGATCTTAAAAAATAAACAAGATCATGCTGTGTAATACTGGTGTTTGAAAGTGGACAAGCCTTTAGGACATAAGTTGCAGGCTTGTGTATTTTTATAGTACAGTGATTTGATCCATGGTATATATCTGAATCTATAATATGACACTAAATTACATTAGTGTTACACTATAGTTTATTTTACTCAGCTATTTGATGCACTAAAATCAATAGGAATTGTGGTTCTGGGATAATAATAATCATGTTATATAATGCCATCCTTTGAGCCTATTGGTTCTTCCTGATACTCACTCCAAAAAAGGGAAATCTATGATTTAGAGTATAATATGAACATCTAAGAACACAGCAGAAGGAAATACTATAAAATCTAGTTATAAAACTGAGTAGCTATACCATGGATTTGGCTAAATTGTGGCTGTAATCAAGCCCTTCATTCAATTTAATCATAGATTTTGTTGTTGCTGTATTTTAAGTGTGTGTGTGTGTGTGTGTGTGTGTGTGTGTCCCTTATAGATAGATGGTCAATTCAATGGTTTCCTTTTCCTTTTCCTTTTCCTCCTTCTGACCTCCTTCCACAGTTCTGACAAATTGAACATTCATTAGCTGTCTATTAAAAGGTATTGTTGCAAAATCTCTTGTATAGGAACTTGTCAAGAACAAAAGCAAAAATGTTAGTTTTATGGAAGTATGACCATAGTATTTTGAGTAAAACTGCTGGTAATTTTAGCCTTGGTAGGGCTACTCTTTGCAGAGAGAGCACATTCAGTGTTGAAAACTATCATTAGTCTCCTGCATGTCATGATGTTCTTTAACTTAAAATTCTGCCCAGTTGGACATATGAAGTAGTTCAGCAGTGTGAACTTCTGCCTACTGTGAAACTGCCAAGTCTCTGGTCTCAAATTGGATTTTAACCCTAATGTTAGGATAAAGATATCATTCTCAGTTTTTAATACTTCATTTCCTGTTCTTAGAAGACAAAATAGAGTGTCAGGTATGCCTTTTTTTTTTTTTTTTTGTGAGATAAAAACCATTTTGGAATTTCTTAAGTGTTCTCTCTTTTGAATTGACCTCTCACTATAAGAACTCAAAATCATTTGTCTTTTTTGTTTTGTTTTATTATTTTGTATAGGTTCTTCAAGTAGAACTATATATTTAAAAAAACTTGAAACTTTAGAATATGTTGACTACTTCATAATCAAAGCAGAAAGAAAGTGAAGTATAGAGGCTGTCATTTGAAAATAAAAACAAATTTTCAGTCAACTACCAAAAGATGATGCTTACTAGGTTAACAATTGAAATTTGTCTTATTTTTATTAGTATTTAGTTCAGGACAGGTTATTTCATGATAATGTGAAAGTACTTAAGCAGTATAGTGAAGTGTTTTAAAAGCTACAAATTGTGCCTCTATTAAGTATTATGCATGAAGGCATATGTAAATACATGAATTATATAATTCTGAGTAAAAGAAAAAGCAGTCTGAAATTTTAGGGGAAATTATATAATGAATTATGTTCTTTTTATCCTGGTAAATTAAGATGTTCTGCATGTTATGGAAGGCCTTTTATGTTAGTTTTTTTTTTTAAGATATCATTTAGATATCTTTTTTTAAAATATTTTTTATTGTTGATGGACTTTACTGTCTTGATTTTTGTGTGGTGCTGAGGTTCGAACCCAGTGCCTCATGCATGCTAGATGAGGACACTACCACTGAGCCACAACCCCAGCCCCATAGTTTTTGTAATTTAGTTTTCTGCTTTTTTATTTTGAGACGGGGTCTCATAAGTTGATGAGGCTGGCCTGGAACTTGTGATCCTCCTGCCTCAGCCTCCTGCGTTGCTGAGATTACAGGCGTGTGTCACCATGGCCAGCTCTTAAGTTAACTAACCTTTTAGGTTAGATGAACATTGTATTTAGAATATTAGCATCACTTGTTCATTTTTCTTATAGATACATCTCCTGTGTTTAAAAAAAAAGGAAAAAAATTATTCCATGGATACAGGCTCACAAATCCCTGTGAGTTAAAAAAAAAAAAAAAAAGGAGGCAATTGTCTCTGGCTAACTCATAATTCTTTAATCTTTCACTACTGGTGGAAAAAATAAGTCATTGCATTGGCCTACACTTTTAATAATAAGGAAAAAAATGGCATATTGGACCAAAACCAATTTGTCAACTGTTTTGATCTTCTATTTAAGTAATATAGGACTTATTTCAGTTTTAGAACATGTGTCCTATGGTTATTAGTGCCCATTGGGGTGAAATTCTTTTTTTTTTAATATTTATTTTTTTAGGTGTAGAAGACACAACACAATGCCTTTATTATTTATTTTTTTTATGTGGTGCTGAGGATCGAACCTGCCCCGTGCTAGGCAAGCACTCTACCACTGAGCCACAATCCCAGCCCCTAGGGTAAAATTCTTAATCTTAGCTTTCTCAAATCTGTTTTTCCCTTTTAGTGTATTCCATCTTAAAGCAGTTTTGTGTTTAATGTGGCAACTGTGTTGCAAAGCTTCTTTTGGTCTCAGTACTCAAGTTTCCAGATGTTGTATATTATGGTTAGAAAATTAAAACTTATATCCATTTGCCTTCCAGAAGAAACTATGTTAAATTTTACAAGTACTTTTTAGTTTATGAGGTTTGTTCATGACAGATGTAAGTTTTAGGAACTATTTGCTGAGTACCAGAAATATTCAAAAGTTTGACAGTATACTGACATAATTAAATCAGTGTGCAAAAAAAAAAATCAAAGTGGCATCTCTTGGTGGTAAAGTAGTGATTTTTCTTTATTTAAAAAATTTTTATACAAAATGTGTATGTTCAATCTGTAATCTGGGAAAAAAAACCCAAATATTTTAAATATCTATAGTCAACAATATATCTAAATTGGTCTCAATTTTTCTCTGAATTTCTAAAGAAGTCTTTAAGTTTGCTTTATTTGTTACCTGCATAAAAATGTATTTTTTGTTGATTCTGCTTTATTTACTTATTTGTGTGTGTGTGTGCGTGTGTGCGTGCGCGTGTGTGTAATTACTGGGGATTAAACCCAGTGGTTTGTGCATGCTAGACAAATGCTCTACCATTGAGCTACATCCCCAGCTCTTTTTATTTTATTTTGACACAGGGTCTTGCTAAGTTGCCAGGACTGGTCTTGAACTTGCGATCTTCCTACCTAAGCCTCCTGAGCAGCTGATTTTACAGGCGTGTGTCCTCACACCCATCTCAGATGCATTTTTGACCAGAAAAATCTTATTTTACCTTATTCTCCTAAAACAAAGCAATGAAGACATACCATTTGCAAACAGTCTTATTTAGCCAACACCAAAACAAAACTCCTCCATTCTTTGTGTTTTGCTATAACTTTATTCATCTCTGTTCTTTGTTCATGTAATTGCCGTGGTTGGCATTTTTAAATAAACCCACTGTATCTCTAATAACTTTTTATGATCAGTTGTTTTAGTATTTGTCATAATATGTCTATGCTATGAATTATTTTGATAGGAATTGTCATTATCATGAGACTGGTTAGAATAAGAAAATGATATATAGGGTATAGAATAATATGTATGCCTTTGGGCGTATGTATTCATATATAAGATCATATTGATTTGTTCTTTACAACATCTTTGAATTTTAGTGGGAAAGGAACAATTGTTTTCCTTAATAAGGGTTAATCTTACTTTGATAGGATCAGGCTTACTTTGAAATTTTTACTGAAGACACAAGAAGTTAAGTTGAAATAAAAGGTGATAAATTAAATGATAACACAGAGCCAGAGCTAAAGGTAAATTGCTGATAATATATATATTTTTTCTCATTCAGATACGTAGGTAACCTCTCCAGAGATGTGACAGAAGTCCTTATTCTTCAGTTATTCAGTCAGATCGGACCCTGTAAAAGCTGTAAAATGATAACAGAGGTAAGATCTTCCCAATTATATGTGCTCTCAGTATGATGTTAAACATTTTGAAATTTATTGGTTGATTAGTATCATTTTTTAAAATTTATTTTAAGCCTCAGGTTATTCTGGTGGAGAGATCAGTGACTTATTTGATTTGGCTGGTAAATGAGACTTGGAATGGAGTCTTGAAAGGGCAAAGTTTCTGTGCTATTATTCTAACACAGTCATTCTTTGTGATGTAGTTATCTCCAAGTGGTTTTGCTTGTAAACATCTTATCTCAGAATGGTGAAAAACTTGATGGTATATCATATAATTCCAATTAGAATGTTAATAATTCAGGTAGCATTCATTTAAAGTTCAGGAATTGGTGTATGTGAGAGAATATTAGGTTATTATGTGCATAGTAAAGCAACATGTATCGTGCATTTTTAGTAAATATTAATGATCACACAATTTAAGTAGTTAGGCATTTAAATTGTTAGAATAATTTGTTGAGGCTGGGCATGTGCAGGCGCTGGATTCAGTTGACTGTAGTGATACCCAATGATTCACATTTTAGTTATTCTTTTCTTCCTGTCTTTTTGTTTGTTCATCAACATGTTTTTTGACTATTATGTACCAGATTCTGCGGTAAGTACAAAGGATACAGTAGTGAATAAGACAATTCCTAGTCTTTAGTATTTCACAGCTTAGTAGGGAAACAGAGAAGTTAACGGGTACTTAGAATATAAAATAATAATATATGCAGTGTGGTTTCGAAATCAGGGAGTCTTCTTGAAGATATTAGTATACAGGCTGAAACCTAAAAATATAATAAAAACTGATCAGAAAGGAATTTGGGGAAGAAGCAATTCTAGTTAGAAGAATGTTGGTCTGGGCTGGTAGACAGAGCAGGAATGCTTATAAGAGGATAAAGGGGGGAAAAATACAAGTCTGTTTTTTATTAGAAACCTGTATTCAATAGTAGCATGGTTGGAGTTTAAAATGGAATTAGTTGTAAGACATCAGAAGCTGTGATAAGGAGTTGGTGTTTTATCCTGAGATGGGGAACTGTTAAAAACCTGTAAAGTGCACTGATTTTTTGATCTTTCTTAACTCACTATAGTTATTAGTTTGTGCTGGTATATTTTCCTTTTTTATTTCCTGACTTTATTCATTCATCTTTTCATAAATAAAATGTCTACATTGCACTAGGCACTCTTCAAGGCACTGGGCATATAATGGAGAGGCAGAGAAAGGAGGTTCCCAGGCAAATAGGGAGATAAGAGTCATGATGAGAATAAAACAGTTCTGTGATGATTGGAGGGTTGGTGCTCTGTAGAATAGGTAGGTGAGGCAAGATGTCATCTCTTTGAGCTGAGACAGTAATAACAAACAAGATGGTGCCTGTCTACAGTAAGAGCTGGAGGCAGAGGAAAAGCAAATACAAAAGGCCTCGAGTTTGAGGGTGGGGCTGTGCTGTGGCTCAGTGGTAGCACACTTGCCTGGCATGTGTGAGGCACTGGGTTCGATTCTCAGCACCAAATTTAAATAAATAAAATAAAGGTCTATCAACAACTAAAAATATATTATTAATAAAAAAGCCTCAAGTTGGTAATGAGCTTGTTGTGTTTATGGAACCAAAGACCAGATGGCTGCAGTCTGGTGAGTGATGGAGGATAAGTGGTGGGAAATGAATCTAATAAGGTAAGCAGGATTCAGAATCATACAGGGCGGTATGGGCCATGACAGAGTTTAGGTTGCAGTGGCAGACCTTTGGAGGGATTTTAATAGGGGGATGAAGTGTTCTGATTGGCATTTTTAAGATTGCTTTGTGTAGACACTGTGGTATAGAGAAGGATTGTAGGAGACAAAAGAAGGAAAAAAACCAACTGGGTTTGCTAGTCTAGGTGAGAAGTGATAGGTTCTTGTGCTTTAGAGTGTGATGGATAAAAATAGGGGTAGATAAAGTTTGAAATATATTTTGAAGATAGAATCAATAGAACTGGATTGGCTGTGGGATATAAGGGAAAGGAAGAAATTAGGAAAGACCCTAAGATTCTTGTTAGTATTATTATGTGGGTGGTAATGCTGTTTACCAAAATGGATGACTGAGCAGGGCACAGAATGCATGGGGTTTGGTGGGAATTAAGCATTCTATTTTGGTTGTGTTAAATTTATGTATTAGATATCTAAATGATCACTGTATATGGGCAGTTGGATTAACTAATTTGGAACTCTGGAGAGACCAGAGTTGAAGCTTGCAGCAGTATTTGAATCTATGGGACTAATTGATAGCAGAGAAGAGTAAAAGGATTAAGGTCTGAGCCCTGGAACCTGGAACAGCTCAGCATTTAGAGTTACATTCCGACTTTGAGTTAAGGAAGAACTACCTTCGGAAAGATCCTCCACTGAGGAAACAGGAGAACTGAGTGTATGGTAGGTTGAAGAGAAGAGAATGTTTAGAGGAAGGAAGGTAGTGGTCAGCTATTTTGAATTCTGTCTGGAAGTCAAGATGAAAACAGAAAAGGGGTTATAGAGGTGACAGAGTCATTGGTGAGCTAATCTCAGTGACATGCTTGGGTTAGAAGCTTATAGGAGGGGATTTAGGAGAATGGGATATGAGAAAGTAGAGTCTAGAAAAATTTTGAGAAGCATTTGATAAATATTTTAAAAATATTTTTGAAAATTCTATAGTTATAATAGCCATTTGAGGGATGAAATGATTTGAAATTCGAAATTTTATCCATATTCTAGAACTCCTAGATTTGAACTTGTAAATATAAAACCTCATATTTCTGTCTTGACATTTATGTCATCCAACAAAAATAGGTGACAACATTAATTAAGGTAAGGACCTAACTGATGATTAGAGTGTCACTTAGTGGTGGTGGTATAAATGGGAAGCTTATAAAGGGCATGGACTATAATACAGAATACTTCATCTAGGCATTTATTTTCCCTTCATAATTTTTTTTCAGTATATGAAAAATCTTTTTCCCCCTTAATTTTATGACTTTTAAAATGTAGATATTATAGATTCTAGCTTTCCCTATATAATAAAATAAAATCTATTCTAGATTCTAAGGCAAACATTAAATGTATATATATATATATAAGTAAGTGTGTGTGTGTGTGTGTGTGTGTGTGTGTGTGTGTGTGTTATTTCATTTCTCTAGGCCGGTGATTGCTGAACTTTTTATTGCTTATGTGGTGCTGGGGATCGAACCCAGGGCCTTGTGCATGCTAGGCAAGCACTCTACCAACTGAGCTATATCCCCAGCCCCAAACATTCAATAATTTTAACACCTTTGACACTTAGGATTTGACTTAAAAAAAATCAGTTGTGCTTTAAATGAAATGCAGCATGATACGAGCATATATGTGATGTGACTATTTAAATACGTGTGTACAGTTTTTTCTATCTGTGATTTTTTTTTTCCCCTCAGTTTTGGCTGTGGTCAACCTCAGTCCAAAATATTAAATGGAAAATTCCAGAAGTAAAAGATTGAAAAGTTTTAAAATGCATATAGTTCTGAGTAGTGTGATGAAGTTTCTTGCTGTCCTGACCAGAACATGAACCATTTCTTATCCAGTATATACATACAGGGATCTAGCTTACTACTAGTTAAGTAAATTTGATATTAGTGTGCATGTAATACACTAGTTTCTTAAAGCCTGTTTGATTTTTTTCATAGTTCTACCATTGGACCTGCATATATTTTTCCATAAATATTAAGTATTTTCTTTAGAGACCATCAGGGCTGAGGAATAGAAGGAAAAATGGACCAGCACAACTTTAATTTTTTAATTTACTTTTAAATCCATCAGAAAAAGTTTCTGATAAATATTAACTCTTTTCACAAGAGGAACTTAAGTGTTTGTTTCTATTTGGAGTCTTTCCCCCCATTTCCTTTCTCTACCTCTAAAGAACAGTGTTCACATGTCTGTGATAGTAAGATCTTGTGTGAGAGCCCATAGTTTTCTTGTCAATGATAATGATCCTACTTTTTTTTGCCTCAAAAAATTGCTTCTGCGTGCTGTGGGGCTAGGCTCAGAGGAAGAGCACTTGCCTAGCATGCATGAGGCACTGGGTTCAATCCTTAGCACCACATAAAAATAAAATAAAAGTATTGTGTTCTCCTACAACTAAAAAATAAATGTTAAAAAAAATTGCCTCTGGTTGCTTTGACACTATTGTTTAGACATCTTATTTTTTTTCTAATTTTTACTTATTTATTTTATTTATTTATGTGTGTTGCTGAGGATTGAACCCAGGGCCTCTCACATGCTAGGTGAGCACTCTACCACCAATCTACAACCCCATCCCGTAGACATCTTATTTGGGATTTTTCTTCTAAAACTTTCCTGGAGCGATAAACAGTGGTTGTTTTAAAGGTCTTTATTTTATCTGGTATTTTTATTCCTTGTAGGTCAGCCCACAATTTCACATTTTAAATATATTTTTAGGGTATTTCACATTGAAGAGTGAATGTTTTTAATCTTATATTAAAAAAAATTTGTACAGTTGTGCTACTATCTAATATAGACTGCATGTTATAAAAATTTGTTTTTGTTGTTAGTACTACTTTCTCACCCTCTTTATAAGTATGTATTTTCCAACTACTATGAAGCATATATTTAACAAAGATTTTTATATATTGGTGTTTTTGTGATGATAGAATATATGTAGCTTTATCCTGGATTCTCCTCACCACCACTTTTTTTTTTTGCAGTAAGGGGGTCAAATTCAGAGCCTGGTACATGCTAGGCAAGTACACTACCACTGAGTATACCCCATTACTCTCCTGGACTATTGGAATATTTTATTCAGTCACATTTTTAGCAGTTATTTTCTAGTTCGCTAGTGTATTTTTTGGACTTTGGAAGACCACATTCAAAGTATATAGAATCTTCAGTACATTAGACTATTTTGAAGGATTGCATTTTTCTATTGTTTATTCTTACCCAGAAAAGGAATACATATAATCCAGTCTCAGTAGTGATACAAAAACACTTATTATTTGTGGTACCAGTCCTGGTTTTGATCAGGAAATAAAGCTTATAAAGTTAGTTCGATTCTGTATCTTTTTATAGTACTGGAATACAGTTTGGGAAAGATTATGATACATGAGTAGAATATATTCATTTCAAAATAATTTTTGGAAGAGGAGAGCAATGATAAAGAGTGATCCTCATCAAATCTGAGTTTGAGGTTTGGTTTGGCCTAATCTATTTCATATTAACATACTTCACTAGAATTTTATATTTTCGTTTAATTCTCAAGGTTATGATTCCATACTGCTTTCTGTTTGAGTACAGCAGTGCTGTGAGGCACAAAGTGAGGTTTAGCTGTGAATTTTTTTTTTTTTTTTTTAAAGCGTTAGGCTTTCATAAACTTTTGCAATCTCACTTTGTACATTCCTAGCTATCAGTAATGTTTTTTCCTGGATTTTCTTCTCAGCAACCCGATAGCAGAAGGGTCAACTCTTCTGTTGGATTTTCTGTTTTGCAGCATACAAGCAATGACCCATATTGCTTTGTGGAATTTTATGAACACAGAGATGCAGCTGCTGCATTAGCTGCTATGAATGGGAGAAAAATTTTGGGAAAGGTAAGGTAATAGAATGGTGACGCCTTATGAGTACATATATTTGCATGTTTATATTCTTTCTTAGCAAGTTTTTAAACAGATATTGAACTGCTGATTGATGGTTTTGCTTTATTCAGCCTAGTGCTTTTACAAAAATAATCCGCTTGATAAATGGTTTATTAAGTGGTAAGTGTTATAAATGCATAATGACATGCTTAATAATTGTATTAAATATAATCTTTATTTTTAGGAGGTCAAAGTAAACTGGGCAACAACACCAAGTAGCCAGAAAAAAGATACTTCCAGTAAGTACTCCTGCTGCGTTTACTGTGGAAGAGTTCTGAAATTTTCCTGGCAGCATTACCAGCTTAACTAGGGTTTTTTTCCTCCTTAGTGTTGCCTAAAAAAGGTTTAGTAGCTGACTTCTTAAGTATTTGATTACCAAATGCTCTGATTTCAGATCACTTCCATGTATTTGTTGGGGATTTGAGTCCAGAAATTACAACAGAAGATATCAAATCAGCATTTGCCCCCTTTGGTAAAATATCGTAAGTATCATAATCAGTACTACACTCAACAGTGATAGGCAAAATTGTATATGATTAACTTGTATTGGAAATAAGATTTTCTTTCTCTAGTTAGTGTACTTTTCTTTTGCTTTTTGATTTTCTTTTTTTGGTTTTGTTTTTTGAGTAGATGTTGTTGCAAATGTTGCTGTCATTTCAATGTTTTGGGGTCTTGTTTTCATATAATCCTGTGTATAATATGTTTTAAAAATTTAAGTGATTCTGTTTGTTATCTTTGAAGCACATGTTTAGGTGGTAAAACTTACAAAGTCCAACTTTTTGTCAAATGTTTTCAAAACTTGGTGGTTAAGAAAAATGGGTTAACAAAAAGCAAATGTGATTATACTGTGTTACACTTTTATTGGAGGAATTGATAAGTGGGGAAAGTAGTTAAATCTTTGGGTATATTGTGGTAAAATTGAAAATGTTCATGTTTAAATGTGATGATAAATGTGTTTTGATATCTTAGGTATAAGTAAAAAGTAGTACTATTACAATATTAATGTTTCATGTCTGAATTATAATGTGGGACTAATTAATAGATGTTTTTTTGTTAGTGATATTTGATTCTGCTAGTAAGGGGACAAATATGGTTTGATTTTTAACAAAATTTATGCTCAAATTTTACTGTTACTTGATCAACTGTATTGGAAGATTAAAAATGGTTATAAGTTGTATAAAGTGTTTATCACCGTTTGTCTTTCTAATTAAAATCAGTGTATTTGATATATTTCCTGTAGATGTAAATTAAACGTTTTAGTACTACTTTACAGAAACGTGTTTCAATTAAGAACAACAACTTTTTTCTTTGTATAATTTGTTGTTCTGTAGATTTAATTTTATTTGAAGGAAAGATTTAATTCTTAATTTTCTATTTTGATATTTGCTTTGCTTTTTAATATAAATGTGGTAAGTAGTACTGTTTTAAAAATCAGTATAAAAATAACAGGTTGCTGTTTTTCAATCTTTATTTATACCTGAGACCTGCAGTTTTCTAAAGTCCAAGTCACAATTAAAAGTAATAGCATTCTGGTTATTTTGCAGAATTGCTCATAAGAATGGACAGGATCTTGAAGGCTAACTGCAAGGAACTGTGCACACTGGAACTCAGTTGTAGATTTTTTTTCTCATTTCTATTTATTCTTATTATACATTATTTATATATACATATTTTAGTATTTACATTTTAACATTCTATATTCAGTGGAGTTCTATATTTCCAATCATTTTAACTTACTCACTAAAATTTCTGTGTAAATTTGTTGTTTTCGTACTGGTGTGCTTAGCATTGTTGTTAGTTTTTTATTCTCCTTTCTTAAATTTCTGAAAATGTCAATTTTTCAAAATTTACAGCTGCCCAAACTCCAAAATGATGATAGAGAATTGACCAAGAAAAATAAAGAAATCTGTTAACAGGCCATGTATGCCTTTTTAATTCCTATTTTTTCCTCTTTTTCAATTTTTTAATATTTCATATATTTTGTATCACTAGGCAGAAGACATTTAACTATTTAGAGATTGCATGGTAAAGTAGTTAGCATTGTTACAGTAATTTATAGAATCAGTAAATCTTAGAGGACACTAGCAAATAGAATATTAGAAAAGGAAACTATTGTTCCTATTAAGCTTCAAATTTGAGCATTTAGTTTAGAAAGCACAGGCTATTTGATTAGGTTGCATGTTTATTACATGTTTTTGTCCTACTGCTTTTTTCTAACAGGTAAAGAAGCATTAGGGAGAGTTCAGGAATGGCTGTAGTTAATTAGGGCTAACTGGAATTTTATTTTAAAAAATGCTCACAATACAGTGTGTGTGGTTCCTTTTAGTTTTTATTTTGAGGGTGACTCTTACTTCCCTCATTTAGCTGTGCTTCTTTTCACAGGGATGCCCGGGTAGTTAAAGACATGGCAACTGGAAAATCCAAAGGCTATGGTTTTGTATCTTTTTATAACAAACTGGTACGTTCTTTCAACTCAATTTAAATTTTTTTAAAAAATATTTTTAGCAGTAGAGGGACATAACTTTATTTTTATGTGATGCTAAGGTTCAAACCCAGTGCCCTCCTGTATGCTAGGCTGGCACGCTACCACTGAGCCAAACCCCAGCACCCAGTTTAAATTCTTTAATTCTAGATTTAATCACTAGTTAATACATAGTAACTGAAATTTGAAAGTGCTTGGATATTAACTACAAATCCAACCTCAACATAAATTTTTGTGTGTTAAGAGTAGAATATAATTCATTCTTTCAGAAACCTGAAAGTAAATAGTTGAGATAGGGTGATTACACTCTAAAGACAATTATTAAACTTGCACTTGTGCATTAATGAAGGAAAAATGTGTTATAAATCAAGCCTAAGACTAGGACAAGTGAACTAATACAGAATTTGGAGGGGGAAACTAAATTATATTGAGTCTTATTTTTTTGTCAGGGTGTGGGGGAGTCCTGGGGATTGAACCCAGGTCTTTTTAATTTTTATTTTGGGTCAGGCTCTCAGTGTTGGTGAGGGTCTCACTGAGTTGCTGAGGCCAGCCTTAAATTTGGTGATTCTTGATTCTCCCAAATCTCAGGGTTTCCAGGCGTGCGCTACTGTGCCCAGATTATATTCAGTCTTTAATCATGATCTCAGTTTTCATTCTTTCTTTAAAATTATCCATACTTTTATAACTGGTATGTTATTGATGACAGCAGTTCTATAACTGAAAATTTAAGCAATTTTTCTTGATTTTTTTTGTATGACTTTTTTTAAGAAAGATGATGTACCAAAGTACCTAAGCATTTGCATTTATTATAACATGCAATAATAAAATAGAGTTTAGTTCGGTTTCAACAACTTAAATTACCTACATTTTTTGAAGGGGTATGATAAAATTACCAGTTATATTCTGTCTTTGCATAGATTAATCTCAGGTTCATATTGATTTGGATAACCTAAGCTTTTTTTTTTTTTTGTGGTGCTAGGTGTTGAACTCATGGCTTTCATAATAGTCAGGCATTGTACCGCTGAGCTATAATCCCTCACCCTAAACTTATTTTTTGTTGATACATTTTTTAGCATTATAAGTCATAATTTAAAAGTCTTCCATCTCATGTCATAGTCATAACTCATACTAATAGAATACATTGTAAATTTTGAGGGGTAGGCAATTTAGACTATAATGTTTGTTTTTAAATTTTCTTCAGTAAATATTACATTATAAATCATCCATAAAATTAAGATATTTGATTACTTTGTCTTATGGGATTTGTTTTTATTAAAATGTGTGTATTTGAGGAACTAAACCTTAATTTTGGGTAATCAGTAGGATTATGATTTTTTTTCATATTTCAATTATGATAAATGTTCCTTTACATCAACTTAAATGCTATTTTCGTAATCTGCAATCAACAAATTAAAATAGCTTTATGATTAATTCAAGTTCAAATTATTTTCTTGTTTAGTGAGTTCATTTACTGTTGAAATTTAGTGAATCCAGCAGTGCCAACTTTTATTTATTACTGGCCTTATATACCATTCCGTTTGTTTGTGATTGCTCTCTCTCTCTCTCTTTCTTTCTCTCTTTTTTTTTTCCCCCCCATAGGATGCAGAAAATGCAATTGTGCATATGGGAGGTCAGTGGTTGGGTGGCCGGCAAATCAGAACCAATTGGGCCACACGTAAACCACCAGCACCTAAAAGTACACAAGAAAGTAAGCTATGTTTGTCACATATGTTAAGATTATAGATTATTCACAAATCACTTATTTCTATATAAGATTTAATTTCTTAATATTTAAATTGTGTGGGAAGACTTATTTTGTCTTGAATTTTATTATCAAAAACAATTGAGATTTGATGTATTTTGTGAAGATGTGAACCACCTGATTTTATAATCAAATCATAACATTGAGGAAAAAATTATATTTTCTTCTTTCTGAGGTATATCTTAACAGTATATAAATAATTAGTAAGACTATGTGTGTGGTGCTAGTCATCGAACCCAGGACTTTGCACATTAGGCAAATGCTCTGAACTACACCCACAGGCCAGAAAATAATTTTATAACATTGTATAGCAGTCAGCATTTTTCTTTTCTTTCTGCATGTAGATAACACTAAGCAGTTGAGATTTGAAGATGTAGTAAACCAGTCAAGTCCAAAAAATTGTACTGTGTACTGTGGAGGAATTGCTTCTGGGTTAACAGGTACAATGTTTGCTTTCCTAGTCACTTTCTTTGTGGGGCTTCATTGTTATTAGTATGAATTTTTAAAATACTTTTTAGTTATCAGTGGGTCTTTATTTTATTTATTTATACATGGTGCTGAGAATTGAACCCAGTGCCTCACGCATGCTAGGCAGCGTTCTACCACAGAGCCATAACCCCAGCCCTATTAGTATGAATTTTATGATGTATAAGAACCCTAAATATTATATTCATATGTTTTATAGATCAACTTATGAGACAAACATTTTCACCATTTGGACAAATTATGGAAATAAGAGTTTTTCCAGAGAAAGGCTATTCATTTGTCAGGTAATAGTCTATTTGTAATATCATTATTAATCTTATATTTGATTTACTCCTACACTTGTGTTATTTGACCCTGTCAAGGAATCAGGTTTTTATTTTAGTATTTCTTTACACTATAGAACTTCTAAGTACATGATGTAATTTAGGGGAAATACCAATTTATAGTAATGAACTAATGAGTTTCTGTATTAAGTTCTTAAAAAAAAAATAAGACAAACATGATTATTTTTTTTCTCTTAGATTTTCAACCCATGAAAGTGCAGCGCATGCCATTGTTTCAGTGAATGGTACTACGATTGAAGGACATGTGGTTAAATGCTATTGGGGTAAAGAATCTCCTGATATGACTAAAAACTTCCAACAGGTAATTGGATTTTTCATAGTACTTTTTAAGGTTCCATCTTATATATCTACAATACAAGCTTTGGAAACTAAAATAAACAGTAAATAAAATAAAGCATATATCTACTTTCAGTTGATTGTATTAATGCTATTTCAAAATTGATTTTGCGGTATTAACTGAATCTTAATACTTTCTTTTCACAGGTGTCACCACCCCAATAAACTTAGACAATGATAAATAACAGAGTCCTATTCACATAAGGGTGCTTACTTAGTTTTTCTCTTCCTTGTCTCCCACTCTTTCTTCAAATACGGTGTTTCTTACTTGTTTCTTAAAACAATAATTTGCTTTTTTCTAGGTCGATTATAGTCAGTGGGGCCAGTGGAGCCAAGTATATGGAAACCCACAACAGTATGGACAGTATATGGCAAATGGGTGGCAAGTACCGCCTTATGGAGTGTATGGACAACCATGGAATCAACAAGGATTTGGAGTAGAGTAAGTTGTTTGGGTTTTTCCATTGTAGACACAGAATATAGTTCTGACAAAAGAAATTTAAAACTGTGTTTTCCTAGGGATGATCTATTTAAATTATGTACATTGAGGTATTTGGATTATAAACATAGAAATAAATGTACTGAAATGTGATTTATAATGTTAAAAAATTACTTCTCTTTACCTAGATGGAAAGGGAGGTTAGGGTAACCTATTAGTGTAACCTGTCTTTGTAAGCAGATGGTAAAATTTGACTTAACATTTCCAATGATACTTTTATTTGTCTATTTTTGTATGTATAAAAGATTTGTTTTCTAGATAAATTTTGAAGTTTGATGATTTTATGCCATTTGGCATGTGTGAGAAATCCTTAAAATTATGTGATATAAAATATCTTACTTTTTAGTGTTGTTGATAGAGTGGGTTGGTTCTCCCAAGTTTTTCCCCCAGGCCAGCCCAGACCTTTACTTTTACTGGTTCCTTCTTTTGAGACTCTTTCCAACTTGAACTTGAGTTTTAAAATTTTCTTATAAATTCATAGATCATGTATGCATTTTTTAAAAAATCACTCTTGCGAGACGTGCTTAATTATGCTATCCTAACAACTTAAACAGTGGGATGTACATTCTATACATGTAGCATTTATTTATTTATTTTAAATATTTATTTTTTAGTTTTAGGTAGACACGATATCTTTATTTTACATTTATGTGGTGCTGAGGATTGAACCCAGTGCCTCATGCATGCTAGGTGAGCAAGCTACCACTGAGCCACAACCCCAGCCTCTACATGTAGCATTTATTTCTTTGATCTATTTAATGTAGATTGTTGATTTCTTCTAGTTGTTTATTCTGTGATTGGACTGCTTAATTTTTCTATAAATGTATAGATGATTTTTTTTTTTTTTTTTTTTTTTTGTCTTGTGTTTGCTGAAGATTTTTTTTTTTTCTTCCAAGTCAATCACCTTCTGCTGCTTGGATGGGTGGATTTGGTGCTCAGCCTCCCCAAGGACAAGCTCCTCCCCCTGTAATACCTCCTCCTAACCAAGCTGGATATGGTATGGCAAGTTACCAAACACAGTGAGCTGGGACTCTAAACAAAATTGTAATTCATGATAGGCTTCGATTTCCTGTGACACTCTGAAGACATGAAAGTAGACATCGGAAAATGAAAATATTTATTTTAAAAATTGAAATGTTTGGAACCTTTAGCACAGCTTTGCTTTGGTGAAGGACACATGTCTTCTAGTTCTGCCTTTTTAAGTTTTTGTTCATGATGGATATGAACATGATTTTTCTTTGTGTACAAAAACTAAAATAAAGTCAATAAAGACAATTCTGACTACAAATTTTGATATAATAAGAAATGGGTAAATACATTTTGATTCTTAGATACTATTCCATTTTTATCTTATTGTTCAGTATTTTAACTCACTGTGTTTTTAAACGAGCAAAAAAGGGAGGATCTTGAAAAACTGGGAATCACATAAGTTCATCCTGAATCCTGATACTCCCCTCCCCTGCCCTGAGGTGGACCACATTTGAAGTCAGCAGAAAACAGTGTGATATTCAGAAGAAATGCATGATTTTGGAGTCGCTTTTGGAGGAATATTTACTTTATGCCTAAAAGAAACTGAAGCCAGACTGAAATTTTGCAACCTAAATAAGGAACAGCGTTGTCTTGAGTTCCTTGAGCAAATGTTGGTTGGTCCACATTAAGACATATTTTTAAAACTTCAGAAAGTGTTATTAAAACTGTAGTATATTACATTTCATTTTGGGGAGAAATTCCAAGTATGGTGTTTGTATTAAAGTCAGACAGTCATACTTGTGCTTTTACATGAAGTTTAAATGATATACATTGTAAATATTGAATACAGTGTTTAATAAGCATGCTTCAACATAGAAGTAGCAGCAATGTAATTATTTGAAGTAACACTTAACATACTCCACTGCATTGAATGCAGTGGATTGATAAGAATGTTAAAGACTGACATTTCCAAGGTTGGCTATCTATGTAAAATTAAAATGACACAAATTATTACACAGAAAAGGCCTTAATTTCAATTCAATATGAATCTTTGATGGATTAGTACATTCTAAAATGTCATTGGAAATTAGATTTTCGTTCTTTGCTTATACATTATTTGGTATGTAAATACCTTGATTAAAACCTGTAAAACAATTTCAAGGTTCCTATAAGTTGTATAGCACAAGTGTTTTTTAAAAATCTTGGGGTGTTTTTAAAAATTAGATATATTTTGCCCAAGAATTTTTTTAACAAGATTGCTAAAACATCTTATTTAGACAGTTTGATGTACCAATTTATAATTGGATATTCAGTTTAAATAGTACACAAAGTTGTGACTTTTATTTTTGATTAATTTTTTTTTTCTTGTGGGAAGTGTGCATGGGATAACAAGCCTGGATAGAGGCTTGAGCTGTATGTGTGTAGTTTGTAAATGAATCCACTGGAAAGATGCAGAAAAGGTTGAGGTTTGTTCCAAGGTATTTTTCAGTCTATGTGGATAAAATCTGCCTCAAATTTCTATAAAACAGGAATGTAAAATAGACAAAATCTTACGTGTTTAAATTGTGACAGCTAGGGGGTGCACATGTTTTGGCAATGTATTCAAATGTTGGTCTGGGCAATTGAGAAAATAGCCTTTTACAGTTAAGTAGTATGATGTAACTGGCATTCACAAATTGCCATTTTTTAAAACTTTGAGGTCTTATAATTAACTTTGAAATAATGATGATTTTATATATTGATGACCATAATTATTTTGGTATTACTTTCTTCCTTTTCCCATTTAAAACTATAGCCAAGTGTATATTCAGCATAAAAATACACAGGGTCTGAAGTTCATCTTTGAGCCAAAATTTTTAAAATACCTTAGTTTTAACCACCATATTCATCTTTTGCACTTTTATTAGTAAATATAGCTTTGTTTCTTTTGCTCATGCTATCTTGGGGGAATGTTGTTTTGGAAAAGTTACTTTATATTTTTAGGGAGACACTTACGAATTCACATCGATTATGTTCCTGAGTTAAAATGTTCATGAATATTTATGAAACTTGAACAACTAAAGACTTTTTTAACTTGATAAATGCCCACTAAACTTCCAGATTTTTTTTTTTTGTTGTTTCCTCTGCCAGTAAATTAAGTGGCTTATAGAGATAATGAACAGCTAAGTTTGGCTGTAATGTTTCCTGGTTTGTATATTGTGACTTAATTAAATTATCCAGACTAGTTATATTGCCATAGTAAGCACCTGACTGAATTGTCCTTCATCTTATTCTGGATGAAAATATGATTTCATGATCAGTTAATTGAAGTTGTTTCATATTAAACAATTTTAAAGCATAAAACTACTTGTCTGAAAGATGCACCATTTAGAAAATGCAACTGTCAAGCTTACAGACTATTTTCTAACACAAATTGAAGTCAGCGCTATTTTAATCCAGTTTGAGCCTAAGAATCGTTGTCTTTTCTTTCCCATGTTCATTAAAAACAGCAGCAGAGATTCTTTGGCATGCAATGAAATGTTTCTTATTTCAAAATTATTTCAAGATTTATTTTGATGATGTGTTTCTGCCTGCCATCTTCTTTGCTTAAATTATCTCTACCAGTATTTCCCCCACGCCATTCCCATTTGGTTTTTATGTCAACTGGCAGTGAGAGGCTAAAATGATTGGCCAACTAAAGCCAAAGCTGTAAACCACAGTTAAAGTAAGTCTTTCAATAAAGACTAGACTATATGATAAGTGGCTTTTTCTTATTGTCGTTTATTACATAATTGTACTTTCTAACCTACCATAAAATAAGCAATTTGGTTTTAAGTTCAGTAAGATATAAGAAGTACATATATACTCAGGATTTATTTCTATGTTCTGTGTATGTATTTAAAAGGCCATTAGCCTTGCTGAATTAAATTTTAATCTGGATATGGAAGAATAGAAATTTGTATCCTTCTAATACGTGTGTTCTGTTGAAAATTATAGTAAAATTTTATTAATTTGGGGCTAACAAATAGGGAACATTTTAACTTGTCTAGGCTGATCCTTGGTAGCATCTATGTAAAAATCATGCTTGACAGTTAATTGTGAGGGGGTTGCGGTTATAAAGGGTCTAGACACTTATGACTTTTTGTTGTTGTTTGGGAGTTTTTGGTTTTTGTTTTGGGTGCTAAGATTGACCAGGGTGCTTTTTCACTGGGCTACATCCCCAGTAATTTTTATTTATTTATTTATTTATTTTTAATTTTGAGATAGGATCTCGCAGAGTTGCCGAGGCTGGTCTCAAATATGTGGTCTCCTGCCTCAGTCTCCTGAGTTGCTTGGATTTCAGGTGTGTGCCACTGTACCTGCCTAGCTGTACTAGACACTTGAATTAGTTAATGCCTCACTTAAGTCTTCCAGCATCTGGGCTTCTACTTAATACATTATAAACATTAACTGTATTTTTGGTATGTTTGTAAAGATGTAAAAACTTTTTTAGTCTTTTACTAGTTTTTAAGAGCCTTTATTTACTTTTTATAAATAAACTTATTTTATTTATTTATTTTTTATGTGGTGCTGAGGAACAAGTCCAGTGCCTCACACATGCTAGGCAAGTACTCTACCACTGAGCCACAACCCCAACCCCTTTATTTACTCGTAAGTGGTTCAAATGAGTGGAATTTTGATTAAATATATGTTTAGTGATAAAATATTTTAATAATTATGTTCATATAGGTTATATAATTTAGATTGCTATTTATTCCATTTTTTAAATAAAGAAATAATGTGAGTAATTATAGCTTTACAAATATGTTGGTGCAGTGGTGCATGCTGGTAATCCGTCTTGGAGGCTGAGATGGATCAAAAGTTCAAGGCCAGCCTCAGCAATTTAGTCAGGCCCTAAGCAACTTAGTGTTGTCTCAAAAAGGGCTGGGGATGTACTTCAGTGTTAAAGCACATCTGGGTTCAGCACTAAAAAAAAGTGGCAAAGTAGTGTGGTGTCTATATATATATTTTGGCACAGGGGGTACCAGGGATTGAACTCAGGAGCACTTGACCACTGAGCCACATTCCAGCCCTATTTTTTTTTTTTTAAAGAGAGAGTGATAGAGGAGAGAGAGAGAGAGAATTTTTAATATTTATTTTTAGTTCTCGGCGGACACAACATCTTTGTTGGTATGTGGTGGTGAGGATCGAACCCGGGCCGCACGCATGCCAGGCGAGCGCGCTACCGCTTGAGCCACTTCCCCAGCCCCTCCAGCCCTATTTTGTATTTTAATTAGAGACAGGGTCTCCCTGAGTTGCTTATTACCTTGCTTTTGCTGAAGCTGGCTTTGAACTCAGGATCCTCCTGTCTCTGCCTCCTAAGCTGCTGGGATTATAGGTGTGGTCCACCATGCTCAACTAAATGTTATATTAATATGAAACCCGGACTCCTGTTTTTTTACTGAAGTTGGGTTCATTTGGAAAGACATATAGCTAGGTGAGGTACTATAATTCATAAGGTACTTTGTGCAAATACCTCCTTTTATAGGGCAGGAATGGCTTTTTGGTTTAGAATTGCTTAAATATAAAAGGTGTTCAATTTAGGATATAGAGGTGAGGGAACTACGTATATGTATTTATTACCTTATCAGGGATCGATAGTAATTGATCCTTTAAGAGACCCATGCTTTTATTTGGGAGAAATAAAATCAAACATGATGTTTAAGGTTTGTTTTTTAAATAGGAATGTCAGGGTATAAATTGACAATGAATGCACTGAACTTTGTTTCTCAGGTGTTATGTTGGAAAAGTGATTCATATTTAAAGTGTTTATGTGTGTGCATGTGAGCCAACGATCAAACTCGGCCTTGAACATGCTATCCTTTTCCCCTGAGCTATACCCTTTCAACATCTCCCTGCTCCCTGTTTTCTATTATTGTTGTTATTATTATTTTATTATTATTATTATTAAAGAGAGGATCTTGCTCTGTTGCCCAGGTTGGCCTTGAACTACTGGGCTCAAAGGATCCTCCTACCTCACTTAGCCTCCTGAGTATTGAGATTACACGTGAGTACCCTGTACCTGTCTTCATATCTAGTGTCCTAAAGTCAACTTGGAAAGTTTACAAAACTGAAGTACTTATGCTGAAAAGCAGTCTCTCCTGGTTAAGCTGTCCAGTTGTCGAACTTGCAGCTAAGCTTGACTTGTCAGTGGACCTCTTTTGACTCTTCATTCTTATAGGTTTTGCAAAATCCTGGTTATTCAGTGATGCTGTAGAATTGATTCATTTTGGCCAGGCACAGTAACACACACCTGTAATCCCAGCAAAACAGGAGGTTGAGACAGGAGGATCCCAAGATCAAGCTGGCCTCAGCAACTTTGTGAGACCCTATGTCAAAAATAAAAAGAACTTGGAATGTGATTCGGTGGTCTATTTAACCCCTGGGTTAAATTCCCAGTACACCTAAACAAACAAAAAAATGCATTTTTAAAGTAAACCAGATTTTACTGTATATAACTGGTATACTCTAACTTGCTCAGCCGTGATACATATTTTTTTTTCTGTTCTTTAAAAAGAGAAGTCCAAAACTATACTGGCAAAATGGGTGTGAAATATTTAGCCATGGGCAACTGTGTATGATCTAAGGTTTAATATTGTATACATTGCAATTTTCACATTCAGTTTACTTCACTGATAAAAAGAGTTGAGTTGAATTGTTCCTTATGTGGTTTATATGATTGCTTTTGCTCAACAAAAATAAAGCAGCTTTTAATATAGCTAAAAAAAGTTTGAAATTCCCTATTTAAATCTTAGATTGTTTCCTTTTGAGAAGGAGTAAAGTTGAAAACATTTAACTGATTCCATTGGCTAGGTTATATTTTAGCACATGGCACAGCTTATGCTTTGTATCTGTTTAATGAAGATTTGGACTAGGAAAGGAGTAGTAACTAGAATACTGAAGAAGAAAGTCCTTGATTAAGGAGAACGCTGACATTGGACAATCCTAAGCAGGGATAGTAAGCTATTTGTGATAGTAAGCTATTATCTAGTTAGGTGTTGATATAAAAAAAAATTACTGTTTAAAACTGTACATACTTTATCAAGAGGATTGAGAGACTTATGTCATTAAGAATAAAATATTACCAACTTCTTTGCTGGTAGATGGCCACGATAGTTTAAATTTCCATTAGGATGTGCTTTTACTTAGTAATGTGTATTCTCAGTGTGTTGTATTAGAAAATTGGGCAAATGTTACTGTTTTCAAATAACTGAGCATTTGCGATAAAATTAGGGGATTTGGAGAACCTTTAAAATGCACATTTAATTCACATCCAAGGATATATTTTATTTTAAAATATTGGTAACCTTATGCCCTGATTTCTTCACCTTTTTGTATATTTATTATGTCTGGCTTCTTCCATTGGAATGTAAGCGGCAAAAGAGCAAATTCACTGGGTTCTCTCTCTTTTTTGGTTCAGTACACAAATCCTAGGGCCTGTAACATGTAACAGTACTTGGCATGTGGTAGATGTTCAGTAAATGCTGAATGCGTGAACGTGATTGAGGAAGTGAGAGTGAACATGTATTCTAGACTCCCGCTTGAAACTGGAACACCACCTGGTATTCTATTTGAATACAAGTTAATCAGTTGATTACTTATTGAAATACAGTTTCTGGGGCTCCATAGTTGTGGGTGAAGTCTGAAATACAATTAATTGGCCTGGGATCCTTTTTTTTTTTTTTCTCTTATTAGGAGAAGAAAACCCATGGTCACAGAAAAACTAGTTTTTTGGAGTTAATGATCTCTTACTGCTACCCAATATAGTTTGCCACACATGTTTCAAAGGTAGGTTGCACTTCTAATGGGAATACCTGGATACACCAGGTGGCAGCCATAACTGCCTCTACATGGCACTCTTTAAGACGGGGTGGTGATGGGCATCAGTGCTAAATAGCTTGAGGAAGATTATTTTTTGGGAAGAGAGGCTTGCCAGCACAGTACAATTGGGGTTTTGGTTGGGAAATATCTAAGTATAACAGACAAAAATGGAACTAGCCATGGAAAGTGACACAGTTGAGATTCTTGAAGTGGCGATTATATATATAGCACAGACATTTAAATTCAGTGTGTGCTTTAGTGTTTTAATGATAAACTGGTTAGCATAGGAGGAAGTTTCTTAATTAGAAGAATTAGGTGAAGATGGTGATCAGACAAGAAAGACTTGTAGCAATCCTGGGAAACAGTACATAATTAACAGTATTGGTCTTAAGCAGTTCAATATTCCTTTCTATCATGAAGGATAAATGTCTTTTGAAAGCTTTATGTTCTACAATATTAGTTTGGTTGAGTCTTAACTGTGTGCCTTGAATCTAGTCATGCTGCCAAATAAGCTTTAAATTGTATTTTATTAATTTATTTATTGTATTGGGGATTGAAGCCAGGACCTTTTGGTGCTAGACAAGTGCTCTCCCACTGAGCTGCACCCCATTGTGCAGTATCTTCTTACCTTGCCTTCATATATATATGCCTTAAAAATAAAATGTTACACAGAAAAGTCGAAATCAGGTGTGCAGCTCAGAATTTTCACAAAGTGAACATATTCATGTAAACAGATGTCACCCAAACAGAAAATATGAGTGTGCCAGGACTCCAGAAGTCTCTCATGCTCTTCTCCTGAGATAACCACTAGCCTGACTTACATGACCACAGATTATTTTGTGTATTTTTAACTATGTAATTGGAATTACCATATACTCTTTTGTATCTGGCCTACTTAA